AGTGGTAGACATCTAAGCTCAAGTTTCACTGTTCCTCAAAATTTGCACAGGACTGGGGGGGGATCATCATTATATTAGTTCAAAGCACAGCACCTAATTTTCATGCCCAATGAGACCATCCCAGTTACAGTTAAGCCATGGATGGCTTTTTAACAACTTAGGATGCTTATTTATAGCCATTAAACTTAATCCATCATTCAGTACAGACTAACTGTACTGAAAGGAAAGCAGAAGTAAACAGCATGTCAGGTGGGCACTGTGAATGAAAACCTGTCACTGTTTCTCAAGTAACTGAACGCAGGGTGTGGTGTAGGCTTACTATCTTATTGCGGAGCCCCTCCCTTGAGCTGTTTACAGTAAGGTGCAGCACAAGCCAGGCTTTTATAACTCTTTTTAACTCACTTAAAAATCTCTACTACAGCTGTCTGCACTTGCACCACCAGCGACATCAAAACTAGACATAATTTCTCAATGTTGTTTTCATTTTCCATTTAGAAAAAGGAGAAGTAATAAGCAAGAGCATCATTCACTCACAGGATTCTCACATTTTCTAAATAGATGAAGAAATGGCTGCTTAACAAAAGGATCCTTAAGAAGAGTGGTTAAGAGTAGAAGCAACTACTAACAGACTCATTCTTCATAAGAAACAATTTATTATTTGTTTGTTTGTTTGTTTCCTGCTTTTAAATGATCCAGAAAAAAAAAAATCCCAGTTTAAAATTGTCCACAAAGTCAATGAACAAATTTCCTTTGATCTGCAGACAGATTTCAAAAATCTAGCTGTGACCATCTCTCTTCACTGGTATACTGGTTACTGAAGTCCTCAGACGTTGTGTCTGTTCTGGTTATTCATATAGCAATCAACTAGAGAGATGCAGCACTACATATCTGAATTGATTTTCAGTCTCTTGTGGGCAGAAGCAGGCTAAGCACTTTAAGGCATGAAGAAAGTGCTCCTGCCTGACCAAACTTTGTCTAAGCAGGCAAAAGGGGAAACGGGAGAGGAGAATATGTCCAAAATTACACAAGTGACTAATAGCAAACAATGATATCAACATTAACTGCATTTAAGTCCAAGAGGCAGTGTGGCTCATGCTGCATTTTACCTGTAGAATTTGCAGGGGAGACCAAACACTAAATCTATTCACTTGTTAGAATCTATGTGGCATGTTGCACAATTCTGAGTTCTTTATTTTTGCCTTTTATTTTCAGTCTTGTTCCCTAAGGAAATGAAACTTCTGCAATCACAGTGGGTGTGTATGGGTACATGCACATGAGTTGAAGTAGTAAGTTTTGAGCCTGCTGGCAAACGTTATCGAAATTTGACACAGAGTAGTAGTGTCAAACATAATGTAATCCTTACATAAACTGTGAAAATAGGGAGACAATTGTAAATGCCAGCCCATAGCCTGGGAGCAAATATCACAGACCCTTGAAAACGTATGTGGTAGAAAAAATATTACTTTCATTTAGTTATTAACAGATCAATGCACAGATCCCTTCAGCCAGGTTTTCAAGTTTTCCTCTGTATTAAGAAATGTATTATTAAAAAAGCCAAGAACAAAACAGAATCTCATGAAACAATGCAACAGCAGTAATAGGGGCTTAAAGGAAGACGAATAAATATGACAGTATTTATAATGAAATAATTAACTAGAATAACTGCACATGCATAAATTATGTGGATTTCTCCCTTCAATTTGTGTGTATCATGTTGTTACGAAAAGCCTTCAAGACCATTCAAATTTCTTCTGTGCTGTGGAGGGTGAACCTCTGGAGAAAGCTCTGGAACACAAGGTGCAAGGCTGACTACCTGATACTGTATTCAAAAGGGGAAGGAAGGAAGAGAGACAAAATCTGGGGCAAAGCTGTGTTCATGACTCAGAATATTTATGTTAGTGATATCAGATGTTACAATTAGGCAAGGCTTGTCATTACAAGGTTGTCATTACAAAAATATCAGCATAAGAAAGGCCTCATTAAGGCTCAAGGAGAGCAAAGACTCAACTTCTCATGTTAGAATATGAAATTTGAGCATCTGTCTCATATTGGAACTTGTTTTGCTAACCACAAGCATTGCTGTTCTTCCTAGCTGGTGAGTACCCTGCCAGCAGTACGTGAAGGAAGCTGGAGAGAGGATACATGTGCTTCATTTGAGTCCTGTTGAGCAGGTCAGAAGTTTTTCTTCCCTTTTTTGAGACAAGAGTTTCAGTAGAATTTAACTTTCCACCCTCACATATGTGAGCAGCCTTCAAAGCATGTAATTTCCATTGTGTCACACACATTCACTCAGCATATGCATAAAATTGAAGGAGAGAAGCTGAAACTCTAAGATCTTTTTATATGGGCTGGGCTAGGGAATGTATTTATGCTGGTTGCTATAGTAATGCATACAGATGATGATTGCACAATCACTGCAATTACACATTTATAAAGAGTGGTAGTTTCAGACAAGTAATACAACTGCAATGCAAGGAAATGATGTAATCAGGGAAAGATGAACACATAGGTCAATAGCATGCTTCAGACATGTTTATTAAATTATGATGAAATATTTGAGAGAGGAAGGCTGGCTTTTGGTTAAGATTTTTGACATCTAAATTCAGTGTTTTGCTCTTCCACAACTTTTTTTTTTGTGACCATGAGTGTGTGTCTCCCAGTTTAGATTCACTGAAGCATGGTGTTGACTAGAAGTTAGGAGCAATAACAAGCAAGTTTAGGTGCTTGGCCAAGGAACCAGAACTGAGAACCTTAAACTACTTATTTACAATAGGCTGCATTCTGAGTTGGGAGCAGCTTAATGTAGGTAAATAACTCCTACTGAGATACCATATCTTAAATTACTTCAAGTGAGGTACATACATAGTCTCTGTTGAAAAAAAGCACTTCCTTTACTTGAGGCTTGGAATCTCTCCATGGGTAGCTTCTTGAAACTTTCCTTTCAAAGGGCAGAGAAGGCAGCACTTTTCTTAATACATTTGTAATGCATTTAAATTCAATGCCTAACATGCCACAGCACTCTCCTAGGGTATGAGATGCCTCGGTTCAATTCCTTCCACTGTCCATGGAAATTCAAATCTTAACTCCCACATCTCAGTGGAAAAAATGTCTTAAATGGCAGGCTACAGGATATTTAAAAGGAAAGGGTGCTCTCACTCTCTCCTATTCAATAATTAAAGAACCCCTGAACCACAGAACTACAAACAACAAACATGAACATGGCCAACTACCAAAACAGTTTATTAGGAAAGGGAAAAAATTGAGTTCCATTTCTGTTATATTAAGTATTAAGTAGTGCTTGGATCAAGTTTTTAAGGTTACATAGCCAGAGGACCAAACAGCCTATGGATTATGATGAGGTTTAGATGCATCAGCATTGCTGAGTGCTTACAACCCATCTCATAACGGAGCTTTAGATGCCACCAGGCTGAGGAAGCAGCTATGCCAGGGTATTAAGAATTTTAAATTGGATCTAAAGAGTTTGAAATATAAAACACTCTGTGGACTGAGATGTCCATTAGTACAATGATGATGTTGGTAGTTTCCTACCTGCCCCAGGTCCTGTGGGATTAACTACATTAAAGCTGTGAGAAAATCAGAAATGATCATCCCATAAACAAGTGAGAGAAAGATACAATGGACATTTATTTAACTAAGTTTAAAAGCTTCAATTTAAAAGATTCCTTTATGCATTTTTTGCAAGTATCAACAAATTAATAGGATTAAGCCTGCAAAATGCATAGTATGTCAAAAAGTAGCACAAGGACTTTGTATAGTGAGACATTTTTGTTGTTTTCCAAAATATAGTCTATAAGCTAATCATGTTGGAATAATTGTCTTGTTAAACAATTTGTTTGTGAAAAAAGAAACATGAAATATAAAGAAAATAAAAAAGGAAAAGATGATCTTTTCACAACAGATGAAATTAAAAATAAAATTAAAACAAACAGAAAACACCGTCTTTTGGTAAATGGCAGAAAAATGAAAGATAGAAGGCCCATGTTTGAAATAGGCTTGTTAGATAGCTGGGGTGATCTGAATCATCTCTTTTCCCCAAAATTAACAAAAATACTGAGATGATATTTCAGGAAAGAGGAGGATCGGGTAAATGGTATAAGCAGTTTTGAGGGATACATGCAATGCTTGAAAAAGTGGCTGCATATTAAGTTGAACTGCATAGATGTAAGTATGGCAGATAAAGTAGAACATGAAAAGAAAACAAAAAAATAAATCAAGTGCTCCTTTCAGTCCCTAACTATGTTCTGCAATCTACGCAGCAAAAATGGAACAACAACTTCCTATTTAACCATGTCAAACATATTCACATTGCATCTGCTTATCTTGGCATTATCACCGCAATTATCAGCATAGCACAGTGCTGAAAATCTGTATGAAAATGAAATGGTTTAGCACATCTACATATGCATGACTTCCGTAGGTCCTGACGATGTTGTAAAGTTACTGTGGTATGTGAATGCTTCCCACTGATGGGTCAAACTGAAGCCTCAGTAACTACTGTGTAAATACAAGAGTGCCTCAGACAAGTCAGAAAAGCTATTCTGATCTACACCCAGGTAAAAGAGGTATCAGGTTCTGAATTTCAATCAGCAATTACTCCTACATGGTGCTGCTGTCTATTTTTTGCTATCTATCCTGCAAAAAAGCTGAGGGATCTACAGACTAGAAAACTTATTTTGTTTTAGAGCCTGAACTGTTTTTTCATTGCCACAACCACAGACTGAGACAAAAGCACCTAAATAGCTTTCCTGTCTGTACACAGTTTGCACCTTATAAAATAGTGATTTGAATATTGGTAGAATCTGACATGTCCACTTAAGCACAATTTTCCTTCATTTTTGTAATTTTCCTTTACCGTAGAAAAGAACTTTAAAAATTTTTTTGTCCCCATTTTTAAATAATACTCTATAACTGATGCAATTAGCACTAAAAATCATAATGTATGTCATGTTCTTAAAAGTGATGCAAACCAATCTACATTTAAAATATTAGTTCAAGTTACTCTGACTCGTTATTTACACAATTTACTGACAATGTTTTTCCCCCTTCCCCTTTGGTTTTCTGACTTTTCAAAGATAGATACCACTAACTTTAAACTCATTTTTAAAAATATGCTTGTATTTGACAAGGAAATGGCACAAATCATTTTTTTTAACCTGTGAGTCACCCTAAAAAACCATTAGCAACCCTTGCCTTCAAAATTCCAAAGAAGCAATGAAATAGGACAGGTAGATGCGAGAAGAGAAAACCCACCCAAACTACCACTTTTAGACAGCGATAGAATCTCTAACTTTCACTACCAGACTATTTTCACATTGTCATAAGACTTCATTGTTCATGTTCCTAACACAGGATTTTAAAAACTTTCAAAGATATTATAGAAGGGCACTATTAACTGTTTTTTATTGACAAAATTTGACATTGATAAAATTTTGGCATTGACAAAATAAAAAGTTGCAAACTAACTATTTCCATAATCCCATCCAGTTGAATCTACAAGAAGTCTTGGGTACTTTACCTAACCCTCTTGTAACCTGACTGGCAGACATCTTAGCACTAGACATGTACAGCACATCTTGATAACTGTACCTTGCTTTCTAGGTTGGATGTTCACAGAGACACCAATAATTAGAGTATAAGTTCCTGAAGCTAACAATGTCTAGGTCTTCATAAGAAGGGCTAGGTGTTCATAAGAACTCCTTATATTGCTCCTAGCAAGTACGGACTTCTTTTAAACCAGTTTAATTTTCTGCATGTGACTAAGTCTCTCCCTGCCTGTAATTTTAAAATAAGAGTGGGTTTAAATGTGTTTGTTGAACTGGTGCCTAAATACTTTCAAATCATACAACTATTGATATGGTATTGAATATTTTTTTTGGTAGATGTTTGCAATTACATTCTGTTCAGAATTGCTTCAACTACTCTCCCTGATTAAAACTGAAGCCAGCAACTGATAATGTTTCTAATCCAGAAAGCAACGGCAATGCTTGACAATATTGCTATTCTGAGCGGTCCTGTAAAACAGGAAACAATACATTTTGTTTTAAAGCAGGGAAGGTGAGGAGAGACAAAACTGAGAGGAGAAGGAAAAGGTCTTAGGAGTTCAGAAAAAAGCTTGGATGATTTTAGGTCTAGGTAGTTAACAGTTTGCCTGTATTCATTTTATATCTAGCCACAATGGACCACAAATGAAGGTGGCCCATTATCTCTGAGCTTACTCAAAAATTTCCTTACTGCATTCATCTGCCTGATTCTGTTCCCAACCTAATTTATTGCCAAGTTTTTTTTGAGTCCAACAAACTGAGGAACAAGTCTTACATTCCCTTCCTGAGAACATAACAGACAAATGGAGTCCTGGAAAGATTAATCTTTCTCTTTATTTATACATATGGCTGGTAAGCTTACCATATTCAGCCCCCAGATAAGACATTGCCATGGCAGGGGAGTTGAAACTAGGTGATCTTTAAGGTCTCTTCCAACCCAAGCCATTCTATGATTCTTTTATTTTAAATAACATTCAACTTACATTAATTCTTGTATCAATAGCAACAGAAGACAGAAAACCTTGGGCTGCCACTAGCTGCATCCACCCTGCCTTTGTTCCCAGCCCTGTTGTGCTTCCTACTGATCCTCCAGCACCAGGAGCTCCATGGGTGGCTGGAACAGGTTTGAGGGATGCTGCTCCTCCTCTCCTGTCCTCTCACCTCCTCTCTTCCCCAGCTGACTCACATACTGAGCATACTGAGAGGAGAGAGATGGGCAAGCAAAACCAGGTTAGAAGGGAAAAGAACATTTCCTCTAAAGCAATACAAAAGGAAAGAAAGTCCCCTGGGAGAGGACCTTATCTATGTGGTGTATCATGTCCACCTACATTTTCAGCACTTAATCCAGTGTTTGGTTCAAATCAGCACCACCTTGCACTTCAGGGTGAAATCCCCTTGGAAAACTTTTCTGCCCTGCAGATTAGATCAGTCAGAAAAGGCAGCAAAGAGAAATACCACTCCCTACACACCCACATCCTGTGAAACCCCTGTGATTACTCCTTATTTCTCCTCATCTTTCACTCTTGTTTCTTCACACAACACCTCTGTCACTGCTAATAAAGAAGGCAACATCATTAAGACTGGCCTTCAAGCCTGCAGCAGCAAAATGAAATTTTGCACTGTTTGCAAATTTTGAAGCAGCTGTCTCTGATGGAAATCATGTATCTACATTTCTTTCCAGCTCAAAGGATCACTGCAATTTTAGTTGTTATTTGCTAAACAGATTTTTAAAGGAAGTATTACATTAAGCTATAAATATATTAAAATAAAAATACATTTCACATAGCCTGACTTTCATCCTGTCAAACTTTCAAATGTACTGTCAGATCCACAACAATTTATCTGTGAAACCACTTTAAAAATGTTAAAACAATACACTTATATATTTCTACTGAATGGTGTCTTGCCTCTTGCTGCTGACCAGGAAATATCCTGTGAAGGAAGTAGCTAATCACTGTCTCCTTGGAAAATGTTTACAAAGGAACATTGAGGATGATGTTATCTACATCCTGTTCAAGCAGCAGTTTTGTTCTATTAAAGCAGATGGTAAATGAAAAAGAGGCATTCTCAGTAGCACTGTTATGCTTTTCCTTTCTGTACCTTGATTCTCACAGTTTCTGGACATAATTTGTTTCAAGGTACCACACGTTTATCACTTTTTCTTCCCATATTTCACTTGCATGCATTTTAAGAAAAAAGATGTTGCAGTAATTTAGTGTTTTTTGTTTGTTTGTTTGTTTGTTTGCTTGGGGGGGGGAGGTGGCATTTTTGTACAATTCTTACCAAAATCAATTCATAAATTGTACGCACACATAAGCATCTTGGTGACCTGAATCAAAACTGATGAAATATTTTAATTCTGAAAGACAATAAAAGTAAGCGCTATGGGCTGCTATAAGACATAAAGTAGAAGTTATGACGACACTGCTCTTGGACTCACTTACAGTAAATATGAGCTTTGTATTTCCTTGTTGCTAGAATTAAACCTACTTTTGGTTTTGGTGATGCAGAACAGACTGCAGTTAGCAATATCATTACCTCTCACTCTGTATTGCAATATCATAATATCTCAAAGACAAACCCACTTTGTGCTACTTCTGAAACAGCTGCACATGGATGCAAGGTAGTCAAGTCTTCCTTCTAGGCTGATGACCAGTGCTGACTGTATTTCAGCATTCTTCTAAATAGGAAAACAAAATCTTTACTCAATAGAAAGGCCAAGATATTACTTGTAGGACTGAGACTCAAACAAAAATCAAAGCATGCTCCTACTCAGAATGCCACCAGCAAATTGCATTTTCTAACTTACTAGACTTGATGTCTCCCTATATTATCAACATATACGTTCATTGCTCTCTTGCTGGAACAAGTCATTTTACTCCATTATCTAAAGTCTTCCAGATTAAAACCAAAACCACCTGTTTCAATCGTTTAGTTATATATAGCTGAAAGTGCAAGACTTGTCCACTAGCAACTTGCAAATTATCTGCATGAACAACTAATGATAAATTACATTTATCTCAGCCACCAGACCATGTTTTTACTTGTACATTCCTCCTTCCTTAATGGTCTCATGCAATCCAACTTCTGGAGCCAAAGCTGTTGAAAATAACTCTCATCAATATGCTTCCTTATTTGCTCTTTTTACATATCCACACTATGATCTGAATGAAGCAGAGGTGCTATGATGGAAATTGTACCTTGCTTTATAGTTAAAGGCAATAGACATCCATACATGCAATGACACAAATGAATTTCTTCATTTTGGATTACAGTTCTCCAATGGGCAGTGGTAACACTGTCATAACTGCAATGGCTTACAGACATAGGCAAGACAAGATCTGTAGGTAGAGATAATGCCTTTTATTAGGCCAACTAGTATAATAAAGGATAAAGTAGACAGATTTCCAGATGTTGCTATTTCTTAGCTTTAATAAAGCTTTCAACACTGTTTCCCGCAATATCTTTGTGTTCAATTTGTGACACTGAGGTCTGGAAGGATGTACAACTAGATGGGTAAAAAGCCATTTGAATGGTTAGGCTCAGAGGGTACATGTTGTACACTAACAAGTCTGGCAGTAAGTAGCACAGTGGTCTATCCTGGGACCAGCCCTTTTTAACACTGTCTCAGCAGTCCAAGAGTGCATTCTTGTCAAGTTTGCAAGCAGCATCAAACCAGGAGGACAAGCCAGTGTGCTTGAGGGCAGGACTGCCACCCAGAAAGCCTTAGCCAGAATGAAGGATTACACTGACAAGAACTTTTATGAAACTCATGACAAAGGCAGAATCCTGCACCTCGAGGTGTCCAAGAGGACTCACATCAATGTGTGTGATGTGAGTAATTAGCAATGTAACTACAGACTGATAATGCTTCTGAGAAGCTTATTGAGAAGGAACCAGGCTCTTCACACCAGTGTATGGCAGGACTTTGAGACAAACTGAAACAAGAGAAGATCTAATTTGGTATAAGGAAAAATCTTTTTTTTTTTTTTTTTTTAATTATTATTATTATTATTTAGCAAAAGCAAAACATGAGAATAGTCAAACATTGCAACACATTATCCACAGAGACTGTGCAGTCTTCAGACTTCCAATCTTTCAAGACTCAACCAGATAAAGCCCTTCACAACCAAGTCTGGTCCCACAGCTGGTCATGCTTTGGGCAGTAAGTTGGAATACAGACTACCTGAGTTCCCTTCCAAACTAATTCACTTCATGATTCTGTGATTCTCTGCAGAAACTCTCTTCAAGTCTACCCCAAACCTTGCCTTCCAGCTGTGCTAGTTGGCCTGATAGAAAATGCTGCCTTTACCTACAAACTGTCTTGCCTATAATTTCCAAGACTCAAAACCACAGACGTTCCATCATGTGGCGTGCTCACACCCACATGGATCATTACTAGGACTGGAATCATTCAATCCATCCCACGGACCTGTGGCACCTGAACTGACAAAATGACTCACAGTAGCTGTAATGATCAGCCTGAGTGTTCACTGAGTGTGGTGGGAAATTCAAGGCTGGCTAATACCTATGAAATGCTCTGGCAGAATCCCAAACCAGCAAGATCCCAGTGCTACATGTTCTACTCTGTGTTCTGCAAAGAAGTGTTTGCTAGTAGTCTGAGATCCATCTGACAGTTTTCCTGATCTTCTTTTGATTTTACATGAATTCCTGTCTTGTCTCTTTTCCATCTTGTTTAATGTCATTTACTTTAAATGCCAAACCCTAAAAGATCTTTTACAATTGTGTTATGTTTGCCTTAAAGAAGCCTTTTGTATGCGGTCCTGTTAGCAGGAATCACTTACCCTTTCCTGATCACAGAATGGCCGAGGTAGGAAGGGACCTCTAGAGGTCATCTAGTCCAATTCCCTGCTGAGCAGGATCACCTAAAGCAAATTGCATAGGATGACATCCAGGCAGGTTTTGAATATCTCCAGAGAAGGAGACTCCACAACCTTTATGGGCAACCTCTGTCACCCTCACAGTAAAGAAGTGCCCCCTCATACTTAGCCGGAATTTCCCATGCTTCAGTTTGTGCCCAGGGCCTCTCAATCTGTTGCTGGGCACAACTGAAAAGAGACTACCTCCACCCTCTCGACAACCTTCCCTCAGATATTTATACACATCAATGAGGTCTCCCCTTAGTCTTCTCTTTTCCACACTAAACAGGTCCAGCTCTCTCAGCCTGTCCTCGTACAACAGGTGCTCCAGTCCTCTAAGCATGATGTACACAGGCAGGTGGCTTGTTAGTTATTTGGATGTGGAAGTGGCTGTGTATGCTGAGAACAGGAAAGAAAAGGTTGCCATTGTTTTAGTGTTTGTTTGTTTGTTTTGTCCCCATCCCCCCGTCCTCCCCCAGCAGATCTAATTTCAAGAAAACAATGTAATCCAAACACAGAGCATAGGTTTTGTTTCAGGGTAACTCTGAAAAAACATCAGCCGCAATAAATTACTGAAATCATTAGTAGGTTTTGTTTTGGAGTAACTCTGAAAAAACAGCCATAAGAAATTACTGAAATCATCAGTTCTTATCAAAGAAATCTGCTGAATATTCAGGAGTTATACAATGTATATGGTAATCAGACACAAATTTAAGAATAATGAAACTAAGCCAGTGTTCCTTTATTTGCTCTTTGAAGGAACACAGAATTTACTTGAAGCATTTTAAGACAATTTGGTACTGATTTTCAAGTTGTTTCAGAAAATCTACATGCTGTATATTCCTATTCGCTGACCTGGGATACTAAATCATTCAAAGACATTTTAAGTGCCTTATCATACAGAAACCTGCAGCAGTATGGAATTTTACTATATAATAGTAAAATGATGTGGACATAAACTCAGCCATAGAAGAGAATATTTTTTTGACACTTCTTATGAACAATGTGTGTTTGCAAGCCTTAAAAAAAAAAATCAAGTCCAGTTTAAGTAAGACTGGGCTCTATTAAACTGCTGTAGTCAGTTGCTTATGCTATTATCCCAGAGGTATTTTCACAAAAAGCAAGCCTCACATTTTAATATCTTACTTTGACTATCTTTAAAAAAAGCACAAGAGACATCCTTAAAAACATGAAGGATTCAGAAGATTTTACACACAAACTATCTTACGTGAGAGATACCACAGACCTAAACATGGTGTCTACTCAGGCAGGGTAATTCTTAGCATTTTCCTATGCACTGTGATCATTTAAAATGCCTATTGCACATACACTACTTCTCTGGCGTTCAGCTTTGCCTCAGATAAGTGAAGTACCATACCAGATCTGAAGCATGAATAATACAGAATCTTTATTTTAAAGCTTTTTGTTATAACAGAAAAAAGGAATTTCCAGTAACAGAATGCTAGGGGAGTAGTTTATCTTCACACTGATATCAAAAACTTTCATTTTTTCAGCACTTGTTCACCTAGATGATACAAGAACATTTTCTGTATGAGAACTGCAATAAAACATACATACGCTGTTAAGCATGGGATGGGTGTACAACACTGCTTTATATAATTTTCCACATTTTCCACTGACCTTCCTCCCCCTTATGTTCAAAGGTTCACAGATAAAAGTTGTATTTAGTTTGTCATACATCTTCAATGCTAAAAGTAATATTACCCATATATTTTCAAGCTCTCCAAAGACATGTGGACAATCAATTCATTTGTACTGACTTTCTTTGAGTTAAGCCCTCACAGTGGAGGCTTTACTTAAGGCTGGCTACTGGATTTTGATGGGTTTGACAGAAGCAGCCTTTACAGCAGAAACCTCAGTATAGAGATAGATTGGATAGATAGACCTATTAGTAGCACAGCTACTGATTTTTTAAGATGTCTTACATATACTGTATACAAATCTATGGCCCTTAAGTACAAGCAACAACAACTGGGTGCTTAGTTCCCTCTGTTCTCTCAGAAAATGGGGGCCTTACAGGTACCTTACTGACAACCCAAAGCACTCAAATAAGATTGGTCCATTCTTTTTCAACCTGATTTAAAAATCAACTTAAAAAAAAACAAAAACAAACAAACAAAAAAAAACAATTCACATTCCTCTTAATTTGCTATTCACTCTCTGAATTCTACAGTTTTGTATTTTCAGGTCCCATTCCACAACCGCAAGTAGGAGTTTTATTGCCTCCTCCTTATAAAAGCTATAGTTGTCCAAACTGTTGCCCCAGAACATGTACCACCAAAGGAAGATATTGCTATTGCAATGTATGTGCTAAAGACAAAAAAACTAACACTGCTATATGCCACATTGTTTCAGAAAGTGGACATTCCATCTCTGGCCCCTTTAGCAAAGCTGCACCAGGAGAAAAATAGCTAAGGGGATTACTATTGTCTGATAACCTCAACAGGATTATTGGATGAAAATCTCCACTAACACTGCAACTTTTACAAAAAGAGAAACACCAAACTCTAGATAATCCTGACGAAAAGTTATGACCCAGGCTTGGAACAAGACACTAGAAATGCTCTACTAGCTACAACTGAAATCGGCATTCATGTTAAGGCAAACTGTTCCTACAGCTATAAATTTAAGTTATAATATGTAAGCACGTTCAGATGGAGTCTTCATTAAAGCTGCTATTTATATCAGCTGATCACACATAGCCACACCTTTGGCATATCACAACTCAGATAAAATATTTTTTTTAATTTTTTTTTTTTTCACAAGCAATTGGTAGCAGGCCCTAACTGAAGAGAACTAGTGATTCTGATTACTACTTGTTTGCATAACATATGTTAAGCCAGCAGTAGTTCTTTGTAGCTTCCTTCTTTCCAATTGTATTAGTAATCTTTTCTCCTTCTCTGGAATTACTTTCCACACTAGATTGTCTAGCTTGCCTTCTTGATGTTTTCTGCTGACCCCATGATCCAACAGGGTCCTCTGTCAGTGCAGGAAGCCACCTCATTCATTATCCCACAAGAACACCTAAATGCTTTCGCACTCATGCTGTGATTTCACAACGATCTAAGTAAAACAGATCTAAGTGAATGCTACTGGAAAAATGTGTGGTCTTGTTCTTTTACCATTAATTGGCTGTGGCAGCACTTGAACTAATATGAGTGGGTGGGGAAATGAAAGAATTGATATGGCAGAACATGCATCGTTTTTAGTTGGGGTGGGGTTTTTTCCTTGATTAATTTTTTGCATGCAGAGTCGTATGCTTACAGAGCTCTACTAGCTGGCCCATTGGCTTCAGAAAATTATTTTTACTCCACTTTGAGGGCAAGCTAGGTTTGTGAACTCACACTAACTTGAAGGGGAAAAGGTGTATCTTTAAGTACAGCAGAACTTCAAAGATCTGACTTACTCTGAGGCAAAAAGTAGATCCCTTCACTCAGTTCCAATGGTAAAATTCATTTTGTGAGTTTGACTGCTGCAAGATATTCCAGAGATCGGAACAAAATGGTTTAAAATTTCTGAATCAGAAGTGTTCCCTCAGGAGCAATATGACCTATCCTAGGCATAACAGTCTTCTTACAACTCTGTTAGCATGGCTCTGTAAGTTTCACTGTAAAACAATCATCTACTGATAGAAACTCTCAGAAAAGAGAATTACCTTCCCTTTCCACAGGACACAAAACAGGAGTGAATGTGCTTTACAGCAGGAGACCATTTCACCTGGAAAACATTACATTCAAGGGTCAGTATGTCAGGCTGCCATACAGGTGTGTAAGATACAATTGCATTTTTGTATGAGATTGTGTAAGATTTACTGATGGTTGGTTACCTTCTAACTACAAATCTGGACAGTGTTCTTTCTCTCAACCCCCCATTTATTTGTGTGTGTATACACATGCACATGAACTTCTCAAGAAAACTACAGTTAAAAAAAAAAAGCAAAGATAGCTGGGATGGGCTTGTCTGAAGTAGAATTAGGCGAGGATATTGGCTTAACAATTTAGGTGTTACAGAGAATATCACAGATTACATGACTAGTGGTCTTGGATATATATTGTGCATTTGTGTTCCATAAACCATAGTGATCTTCAAGCTGGGAATGAGCTCAGTATCACTCAGGGGAATGGCACCTGCTGAATCACTAACGTGATTTCCAGTTGCATGCAGGACTTTTCCTTTCACCTGCAGGTCTTGCGCACGGTCAGGCAGGTTTATGCAACTCACGGTGATAGTGGCAGTTCACCTGAGAAAATGCCCATGAGCGCATTTGTGAATTTGATCATCTTGGAGACCTAAAGAGGAATGTGCCCAGGTTGTTGGTAGCAAATTATTCAGAATATCTGAATCTTACTGGTCAAAGAAACGGTGTGGATCTCAGTACAACGGCATGTGATGCCCAAGTAGCCTTCTGTAATGTAAACTGAGCTCTCAAAGTGGTGGAGCCTAAGTGACCTGTGACTTTTGCACGGCTCAGATGGTCGTACTTCTCAACGCAAGCCCATTTAGTCACACTGTGCTACGTGCAACGAGCCTGACCTTTCAGATTTCCTGCCCAGCCTTTTCTTCTCAGAAGCGAAGGAGTTTCTTTCTCTTTTCTATCAGTGGCCAGAACGGGACAGTCAGCACTGCAGATGCCTGGGGTACATCACATCTCATCCGGCGAGGCAGCGTGAGGTGGCAGCCGACAGGAGCTGCACAAAGGCATCTCAGCCTCCACTTCCAGCCGCCAGCACCTCGGGGAAAGCCGAGCCACGGCCCCACGGAGCAGCTCCCCGCGGGTGCTCACCCACGCTTAATACGCCCTGCGCCGCTCCCTCGGGGCTGAGGGTTTGGTCCCCCGGGACCTCCCAGGGGCTGCGGCGGCCCCCGGCCCCCACGCGGGACGTCCCGCAGGCGGGGCGCAGTGGTGCAGGGCCGCAGCGTTTGCCTGGAGGCACGCGTGGGCTCCGCTAGGGCCGGCCCCCGGGGGCTGCCCCCAAGGCAGGGTCGCGGCCGGCATCGGAGCCAGGCAGGAGCCGGCGCTTCAGTACCTGGTAAACGCGGCGGCTTCAAAGAAGAGCAGCCCGGCGGCTCGGGACTTCCTTCTGCCGATAAGATCTTCGCCTTCGCTCGTCACGGGCGGCGGCTGCCCCGCTCGCTCGGCTGCGAGCTGCTAAGGCGAGGCGAGGCGGGAGCGGGCGATGCGCGGGGCCGCCCCGCTGCCCCGACCCCCTCCGTCCCGCGCAGCCCCGCGCCCCGCTGCGCCGGCCGGGCGGCGGAGCCGAGGCTAGCGGCGACATGGGGACCCTGGGCAAGAGGAGGGAGAACCGGTGAGTCCGCTCGGGCCGGGGGCTGCGGGGCAGGGGGGCAGGAGGCGGCGGCAGGACCCGCTTTCACCCTTCCCAGCGCCGGGCTCGCCGCGGGGCGCTCGGAGCCTGGGGGGGGGGACGGGGCTCTGCCGGGGGGCGCCTCCGCCCCCGGGGAACCTGCGGGTGTTGCGGAGGTCCCTGAGGGGTCCCCTCCGCGGCCCCCGGGGGCTGCGCTACCGCTTGGCCGGTTTTGGGGTGCCTCTCCCACCGGGGTCCGCCGAGCGGGCCGCGGCGTTGCTCCGACCCTATTTGGGGCCGTGAACTTTGCTTTTGTGCGCTGTTCGGTGCCGGCTCGGATGGCCAGACCGAAAATATCCCCCGCTAAAACTCGGGCTTCGCCGCCGCCGCGTCCCGAGCATCCTCTGCCCTGAGCTGCGGGGGCCTGGCACGAAGCTCGGAGGGGTGGTGGCCGAGCATGTAAAAAGAGAACCCTGAAAGCTGATCGGGCCCTCGCTCTGCTTTATGCGAGAACAGGAAGTCAGATCACAGAGCGACGAGGGAAATTTAGAGAAAGGGGGAAGGGAACAGAAAATTCTTTGCATAGCTAGTGCCAGATTGAGTGCAGGAGAGCTGAGCGATGGTCGCTGGCTCTGCGGGGTCAGGGCTGCGCTCCGCTGGCGGTGGGCGAGGAGTGACATCACGTGGAGTTCTGTGGCTTTTCCAGCGTGGAAACGAGTCAGAAACTTAAGCGAAGTCTTGAAAGTCGCTGACATGAGGTAGGGTCCAGTCTGTCTTCGCCAGGCATCCGTATTTCAATATTTGTTCGGGACCACCTGTATGGGATGCTGGCGTCGTTACTGCAGTCTCTGCCTGTATGTGGTATGCACACTGGATACGTTTCTATGCCTTTTCTTCTCAGGATTGTCAGTGTGTTAATAAAAAGTTTTGCATAGTGCTCTGTCAAAGAAAAATTGTATGAAAGCTTAAGATAGCAACTTAAAGATGCTGCGGTAACTTCCTTAGGGAGATTGCGGAGTGTGAATTGTCTTGAAATAATCCTGAGTTTTATGAAAACAGTAGTGACTGTTGCCCTTTTGGGAGCTGTACTGTCATGCTCTCAAGTCAGATTTTGAAGTGGTTCCTGTTATTTGCAGGCGAAAATGTTTCAGCACTCTTCATGATATTTGTTCTTCTTTAATGTTTCATACAGAAAGAAGAACATGTCCACAAGCAGTGAACATATTTTAATATTATCTGTAATGTATGCATTCTTAGGCTCTGAGAAATGATAATATGAGCAAAATACAAGCCTAGAACTAGATACTAGCTTTATTTTTGGCCTCATTTATAGTTGTAAGCCTTTCATAATAAAACCATTAATTCAGTCATGTATGCACTCTTGAAACATTTTAGTAGGAATTAATAGTATAGAATGGATACAAACTCACCAACATTTTTTATTATTTTTTTTTTATTTTTTGTGAAATGCTCCACTGTAAAGTTGCACTGATATTTTGGGGACTTAGAAAATCACTTGGAAAATCACTATTAATAAAGCTCGTCTGTGTTTTTTCAATGTGTAATATTTGATTATAGTTATATTTTTTTTCTCCTTTACTTTTGGTAACCACAAAAATATGTGGTACACTCATGCATAATGATGTTCCTGTTACATGGCTTGTATACACAGTTTAAAGTTTTGCTGCTGTTTTTTAAACTTGTGCTAAAACAGTAATGTAAACATACCAGAAGTCTTACTGCTTTGCTTGAGAGTTAACCTGAGAGATCATTCAAGGAGCTCTGTAACTGTGTGCTCTACAATCCATGTTTAGAAAGAAGAAAAAATAATTTACTGAGTAGTCTCTTTGGTGTACTCATTAAGTGGGAGGGCTATGTATTTCATCAACCTAGCTTCAGGGAATTAATTGCCCTTTAAATCTCTCCCCCTTTTCCATGTAGCATAAAATTTGCCACTCACTCATCTTGTACTTACTTCGCTACTGTGCTTTCTTCTAGGCAACCTGCCCAAGGATGCAGCACTGTTCCTGAATCAGCACTTGAGCTGAAGCAGATCAGTCATTGTCACAGCCTTTCAAACCTTACCCAAGTCACAATGGTGCCACTGGGACACCTGGCTAAAGGGGCGACTTTGGAAGATCTTCTTGAAACCTGCATTCAGTCTTTTGGTGAGTGTCTGGGAGTTTTTGGAATGGTATGAATATGTTTCTGTACTGGTTACTTCTAGGTCATTTACTAGTGAATTACATTGATTTACTAGAGAATTAGAAAGGCTTAACTGATTGTTATGCATTCAGTAGGTAAATGGATATTTTATGGGTTTGTTGATCTTTGTATGCATGTTAATATATGCCAAGAGATTGATGTCATTATTATTTTTTTTATCTTGAGAGAATAGGACAAACCCCAGCCATCCGTACTTCCTTATGTTTGTGCTTTTTTTCCCTCTTTTTTTTTTTTTATATATATTTGGTTCTTTGAATATCAATTTGGTAAACTTTAACAAGCAATCATTATGTTACTGTAATATGTTCATAATGTGTCAATGATGTGTTTATGTTAAATATTTTGAAATGAGCAGAGCTATTTTTAAGATGAGTAAACTAATGTTGGATTGCCTCTTGCATTACCTGTATAGATTTTAAGTTGTATCTCAGTAGTGAGAAAAAATCCTAATAAAAATCACAGCTGAATTCTTTTTCAAGCCATTCATTTCTCTTTCTGCCATAAGAATTGTAGTACGTGGATGATTATTGCAGTAACCCTGTATCCTTAGTCTACTTTTCCGATCTTTTTCATTAGTAAACATGTTCATTTTTTATATGATTAAAATATACTAGTGCTGAAGCACTCAGAAGGGTTCCAGATACTTTGTAGGTAATTTGTTTAACACTGTATCTTTTAGTAATGTGAACTACTCTGAAAGCATCTTGCAAAGTTTACTTGCAGAGTAGTCCTTGGACACTGAATGCTCTCAAACACCCACTCACCTTTAAAAATAATTAATCTGTGCAGTTAAGTAGTAACACAGCGCTGATGTAGTACTGCAGCACATAAATACTGTATAAACAATGACTAATCTTTTGCATCCATTGGAAATGATTTTTTTTTTCTTTTTAAATATACTTAAAACTTGTACAGAGAAACGTGTCTAGGAAAAGTTGATAAAACATGCAATTATCAATACTGTTTTGTTTCTTTCTGGCTCTTTTCCTCCTCCATTTAATTATTGTAAATAACGTATTCACTGAACTGCTACAAAGCCCCAGGTTTTAAACAAACATCAGTTATAAGTTTTGATTCATTGGGAGTGAGGCAAGATGTCTAAAGCACGTGTAAGACCTTTGTGCAGTTAAAATATTGAGATTTTTTAACCAATACTAACTTGTATCTATTTTTATATAGTTGATTGTAAGTACGATATGTAAAACACTGAACTGTTGATTTAGTTTGCTTAGTTTTATTTTAATAACTTTTTCATATTCGAAGTATATAAATCAGCATGTGCCCTCAGATTCCTGGGCGTCCATGTGTTATAAGGACTAAGGTGACAGAGATAAGAAGTGTACCTGTCCAGTTCAGTTGTCAATGCATGTGAATCTTTCAAAAGGGTTTCATACTTAAGCTCATTAAGGATTGCTACAGTCATGATGTGCACTGTAGACACTGAGACTCTTTTTTGTGTGTGTCTATATTTGCGTGTCTTCTATGACATTATGCATATTCTTAAAATATGTTGGAATTTCCAAGCTGAGTATTTAGGGTAACTGTAAAATGCAACTTAAAACTATAGATAACCTATTTAACAAAGTTGCTTAGAGAAGGTTTTTGTAGCCATCAACAAAAGTGCTGTGGAAAATATGTTTGTTTTGTCATGCCAACAAAGGAAGCAATGGAAAAACTTTAATCTGGGAGACTGAGGAGGAGTAGGGAGAAAAAGAGTGGGTAAAAAAAAAGGCTGAATTATTACAAGTATATTGAATGATTAAGCAAGTTTATTCCCATGCATAATATTAAGTATTTAAGTATATTAAGTGTATTAAGTAAAGTTACTACCCTTTATTCTAATCAGATTAAAGTTGTATTCTCAGTTTCAAATATGCTGCTGTGTGTTATTTTGTATATTATTCCGGAAATTGATTATTGTAATCTGAACAAGTGTTATTTCAATATTAAAAATGCAGAATCCTCCAAGACTTAAGCACAGATCTTCTTACTACATTTTTAGTTTGCTTTCTGGAAAAAAGCCCTTGATGTGTTTACTGTCTAGGGTTAAGAAATACTGTATGTAGTAGATAGAGATGTTGATGTGTCACACTTCAGAATATGTACTTAATCATGTTATTACTATACAACGCTTGCTAGTATTATGTATACAATTATAAATACAATTTTTCTATAAAGTATGCTGCCAAATTTATATTCCTGAAATCAATTATAAAAGCTTGGAAAAAAAAAACACATTGTGTGTAAGAGAGGCTGCTGTCAAAAATGGTGTGTAAAGGGAAGTTGGCAGCCTTCTGCCATTTATGTGAGGAATAGCAGAAAGATGGCCTAACCAAGAAGGCATTAAGAATTAACCCACACTTAAAACTGCGGAGGGCACAAGTATTCATAATTTTTCTTACAGTATGGATAAGGGGAAAAATGAGAAAGTGGGATGTGTAAAGCTCAAATAATGAGTGAGAAAACTTTGCCACAGTGTTGTAAACAATTCCAGGATGTTTTGTAGAAAGGCAACTTTCAAGAGAAAGCTCAAGAGAGCTGAGATAATCTAAAACCTATGCTAAGGAGGTAAGAAGCAAAGATTGGATTTTGGAGTTTGTGATATTGTCTGTGGGTCTGCATCAGTGCTGG